TTGAAACTACTGATACAAAATAATAAATGAAGTGGCCACAAACAATGAGAAAAAAAAATTCCAGTTTGATTTTCTCAAATTTACCTGATTTCTGTAATTGTTAACTTAAATTTAAATGTTAATTTTTCAGTGCTTGTACATAAAATAAATTACATTATTTTCTTATACGTAAAATATATTACAGGACACTTTTACTTATCTGGAAAAAAAATTACCCGTGTTTTCCCTGTACATATTACACACAATATGTTGAAAGGAAATTACTATTACTGTGCTCTTGTGTGAGCTACATTGGCCTAACTATATTTATTAGTTTTAATTGTTGGAAAAACAGCTGTACATATATAAATAATGCTATAGTAAATTAAATAGTTTAGTACAGTTGAAATATCATCCTTCAATATCCAATCGATTACACATTTAGTGTTCACCATTTTTTAAAAGACAAAAATAAGAAACAAATTCCCTGTATTTCTAAAGAAAAATTCTGAATTCCTTGCATTTTTTCTGATATTTTAGGTGATTTTTAAATTCCCTGTTCTCTACTGTGGAGTAGCAACCCTGTTATAATTTAAGTTGAAAATAAATATCATAAAACGCATTACTAAAATAACTAATTAAATAAGCACATTATATGAGGTAAAAAGCAGCAGTAAGATATAATGGATGCCAGATTTATTTATTTTCTAATTTTTTTTATTTTTAAATTTGACTTTTAGGTATTTTAAAATTGAATTAATTCCTTTTTGCCGATATTTTGTTAGTTTAATTAAAATTCACTGACATTTCATTTCCAAAATTGAAAAAAGTTTCCAAACTTTTCCTTGTTTAGTGGCCATTCGGAAATAATACTAATACGTATACTTAATCAGGGTGCGTAGCCAGATTTTTCAACAAAAAATAAGCACCTTTTAAGTACTTTTTAAGCACTCAAAAAATATTTTTAATCACTTTCCAAAAAAAAATCATTATTAGGATCTGTGAGTTAAGAAATTTTTTTTCCTATCGTTTAAAGTTCTTAAGTTATAAACATAAAATCAATAAAATTCAAAAACTTTACATAATCATGATAAAATAACTAGTTTCTGATAAATATTGCAGAGAAAAGTGTGAAAATAATGCATTTTATGTAATTTAAAATGACAATCGACAAGCCAAAGAAAAAAAAAGAAAGAAAATTAAGCACTTTTTACAAACCCCAAATAAAAAATGCACCTTTAAGGGCTTTCAAAAAACGTAAATCAAAAATAAGCACCTGAAAGCACTTTTTAAAAACGCTACGCACCCTGTTAATGTAAAATGCTGGGTTTCAATAACCAAACTAAGCATAAAAAACTCCGAGAAAAGTCTTAAAATAGAAATTCCTAATACAATACTACACATTAGGGATTCTTTAAATTTACATAGGTGCATAAAAATATCAATTGAACAGTATAAACATACTCATATCAAATATAGAAACATACAAGAGAAATATATATTAAAAAAAACGTTCTCTAGAAAATATCTGTTAAAAAATGGACGGTTGTCAAATGCATGCACACCCTCAAGATTTTGGCATTAACTTCTTTTAAAGTAAATTATAAAAAGCACACAGTTCACAAATGTCTTAGATTCATATAGATATATATTCTGTAACTAAAATTATAGAAATAATGACAAAATAATAAAAATAAATTAAATTAAAATATTGTTATTTAAAAGTTATCAAATTTAAGTGATTAAGTTATTAGTAAAGAAAAAAGGTTGAAAATATATCATGAGAAAAAGTTTTCACAACTCCAACTTCAGTTCAGGTATTCTGTTAAACAAACAATAAATAAAAAAAGAAAGTAGTTTTTAAGAGTGGCGTGATGGAATGTGGTCAGCACTCAACAGTATGTGTGTAAATGAATTCATGAAATGTAAAATAGATGTATAAACTTAGAAAATCATAAATATATTTAAATATTGCAAACATTTAAAAAAGCATTCCTTTAATGACAATATTTTTTTATGCATTATGCATAAATATTTTAAAATAAACTGTTTTTTATCTAAATAAAATCTCTTAAAAAAAAAACACAGTTTTTTATAACTAAAAAATTTTTTTTCCAGAACTATTTGTAAACTTGAAGGCTTAATTTTAAAAACAAATTTAAGACTTCATTTAGCATTAGCTTTAAAAAATGTAATGAATATTGAAATAATTGAGTAAGCAAATTTTAAATATACCGTTACAGCAAAAATAATTACAAATTCACTCAAAATTAATAAATATTTTTACGAATGCAGTTAAAGACAATAAAAATAGTTAAAGATAATGTTATACATAAGATAAAAATCAATTATTGCACATCATTAACAAAGCTGCTTAGAACTTAACTGTAATTGAGAAGAGGAACAATTTTTCTGATCAATTAATTGTAGCCTCTTACAAAACTGGCTTTCAATAAATCAAAATTTTCCATTTTGAAACGTTCTGCAACAATCAGAATGCACATTATTGTTGAAAAACTTCTCAATGTATATAATATTAAAAAACTGCAAAAATAATTCATGAGTTTTGTGTTTATAAAATTACAAATATATATTTAGATTCATTGATCAATTTAATCAATCAACTTTGGAAGTACTTACCTTTCAAATTTAAATTAGTTTAAGAACAGTTGTATAAATGAAAAATTAACATAAATGTAAATTTTCTTAAAACAACATTAATTTGCTTGTAAGTTGCGATTACTTTATGCAAATTGTGTTTTTTTTTACACTAACAATGATGGAAAAAGTAATAATTAACTTAGTAATTGAAACTAAAGAAAGAAAAGCAAAAACAATAAATCTCTGAAAAGTGTCATCCCTAAATAAAAATTAATCACTGATACAGTAAAGAAAAACTATTTACAAGAAATCACATAAAAATGAGAAACAGAAAAAATATAAATTTTACATCTCATTATTTATACTAGTAAGAAAAACCAAAAATATCCCATAATAATAGTTTAACCATTTAACATAATACTTATAGAGTAAATTATATCATATTTTAAAATCATTTATTAACTTAATAAGTAAAATTTTGATTTTAAACATTGCACACGAAAATTAAACTAAAATATTTTAACAGTAACATAGCTTATAACACTTCAAAATTATAATACTTTTCTAGTTTTGCTTTGATTTAACCTTTGGGTTAAAAAAAAAAAAGAATAATAGAAAAAACTAAAAACTATAGCTTCAAAAGATAATTTCTTAATCAGGTTCGAAAGTTTAATAAAAATATATAACAGGTACTAATAGAAGCAGAATGGGGTGGAATTCAAATGCGTAAATTTGAAACAAATTAAAAATTTATGCTAAAAATAAATATCTGTAATGAAATAAACATGTAGTCACATGTTTTTAGCTTTAATGATCTAATTATTTCATCACAGGCTTTAGCAATCGGTAGTACAGAGTAAGAAGTAAAACAAAATAGTACTTTCTTAATGCCACAAAACTTTTCATTTATCATGACTAAAATTTTGAAATGAAACTTATTATGTTTTATTGATATAGATGTTTAAGAATAGAATTAAACTTATCGAAAAATAAGAGTCAATGTAAGATAGCTAATTATTAATATAACCTTTCAATAAAAACTTTTTAAAAAAATATGAAGGTCTCGAAAGACTTTCTACAATAATACAAATGCAAAGTATGTAATTTAAACAAATGATAATTTACCTGGGATTTTCACTAAAAACTATTCAATAGTTGTAATAACAAGATGAAGACATAATTTTTAAAAAAAGAGAGATTAATATCCATAAAAAAATCTAAATTCAATTTAAAGACATACATTTTCATGTTTGAAAAATTATTTCAGGACTTTATCTTCAAGTTATTAGTAAGTTTTTATTTATTTGCACAAATTTTGTTCAACTGGTTTAAAATTACATACATACATACATATATATATATGATTTATATTAACAAAATGATTAAAAAACACATACACACAACCGAATATTTAAAAACACAATACATAAACAAAACTCTCACCCAGTTATAAAAATTTATATCTAAAATATAACATTTTTCTCATTGAGCAATTGTATTTGAATAAAATTACACAGATTACCTAACATGTATTGCATTAACTAACACAAAAAAAAGCCATAAAAAGAGGCCACAGTAGTGTTTTTCAAATAAATTGTAACATATAACCCTTAAAACGAAACATTTTTCTGAACAGATCATTTAAACAAGATGATACAGAGATATATTGCCTCCAATCAATTATACAAATTTCACCTTTAATTTACAACACAACATATAAAATAAGTACACAAACAAAAAAAGGGACTTGATGCAAGAACTAAATAAGTCTAGCTCATTGTTTCTCAAGTGCCAACACCTTAAATTTTTTATTTATTCAATAAGGATCTCACTTCAACAGAGCTTACCTTCATACCTAGGATTAAAATTGGATTCAATCAATCCAAGCTAAAACTGAAAAATCTTTGCACAAAAGCAATTTTACTGTTATGTGAAACTACATTGTGAGTATTAGTAGTAAAGTTTTAAGTAATTGATTTGACACAACTAGAACTGACATGTTAGTTAGCACAGGGTTGCCACAGAAAAAAAAATTAACAAAATAGTTGCTTCCAGTAGCCTAAACCATGAAAATAGTAGCCTAAAATTATGAAAATAGTTGCTTAAATAAGAACAAAATTTTTTCAGTAATATGACTAAAATTTTATTAAACGACTTCATTGTAATATACCATGATCCATTTCGCCAAGTTGACAGCCAATATGATAATATTTAAATAAATGTTAATGTTCTAGCACTAAATTTTTATATTAAAAAAATCAGTATATTTGCAGAACATTAAATACTTTTAAATGCTAGTATTAATGCAGAAAAATAAGTTTTTGTTAAAAAAAAACACTCTTTCTATTAATTTTCCCTTTGACATAATTTTTCCTTTCATCAATAATTGATTTAGCAAAAATATATATTGAAAAAGTAATTACTAAAATTCGAAATTTATGCCTCATAGTATCATATTAAAAATTGGGTTCTTTAAAATCATGCAGAGTTTCGTAGCAATAATTGTTGAAAAGGCGATTGAGAAACAAAATAGATTCACAATGGAACCTTTGCAAGTTGAGCGCATTAAAAAGTGATCAAGCAAAAGTGAATAAAAAGTGACTCAAATATGCAATTCAATATTTTTTTTATTTTTCAGGAAAAAAAAATTCATTACGTTCAGAAGCTACCGCGGGCCACAGGTTGTCAACCCAATTTATGCTTAAAAAAACATTGCTAGGAGCACAGAAAAGTCTCCCTTTCCTGAAAATAGTTGCTTTTATAGCCTTTTCAGGCAAAAAAAAGTAGCCATAGTTGCCTCAGGTAGAAAATGGTTGAAATTAGTTGCATTTTAGTCACCTATGGCAACCCTGTTAGTAACAATCAGATTAAATTGACTTTTTTTAAAATTAATTTTCTAATTGCTTGTATTTTTTATGTATTACCTACACATAATTTGGTTTCGCTACTTTGCTATTTGAACAACAAAACTAATATTTGAATTAAAATATATTTTAATTATAAGTTTAGGATCCAAATATTTTTCATTGTATGTAAATGATCCAAAACAAACTGGTGACGCTGTTCACTAGTGACACAATTTCCTATGTGTAAGGATTATGGTTCATATTAATAACGGTCCACTGAAATATTTCACTTGGCCTTTAATGGTTGAGAAACTACCTTAGTTAGTGCACAATTGTAACGCCTCGTTTGTGGAAATAAAGATGGGAAAAACTATACAAACCTTTAGTCCTTTAGGCTCTCACTAACAATTTGAGACTTATTTTGTTCATGCACCAAGCCTGACAAAATCAATATAGCCTACCTTAAATATTGCCCATTCAATGAGCTAATTCCAGTACCTGATTGAAAGAAAAATAATTTATCTTATGATTGAAAAAGTGATTTTAAGACAATTTTTCATCAACCTAAACACACACAAACAAAAATCACATAAATTGCAAGAAAAACAAATAAACAGGTAAAATTTGTTTTTGTAAAAATTAGCTCAGCAGCTCACTCATTACTATAGCTATGCTACAATAAAGTTATTAAAAAAAAAATAAGTACATTTTTTCTCTTTTAAATAGCAACACGCACATAAAACATAATCTATAGAAAATATCAGATCTATAATTTTAGCAGATAAAATCATTTTTGATTGAAAAACCAACTCATGTTATTAAAAATAATAACATTCATTCCATGTGTATGCAGAATTCTGTTTTTAAAATAAAACTTTTTAAAAAAAAAATATATATGTCATGTTTTAGACATTTTTAAATTACTTCAAGCAGTGCCTGTGACATAAACATGCAATCCATTATAATGAAGGTGAATATTGTAGTGAAAAGATGCCCATTAAAATCAAATAAACTGAATTGTCTAGAGGAAGAATACCACAACAAATAATGCAGCAAACAGAGTGTGGAATTTGAGAGTATTCCTGCTGGAATCCGATCTGTACAGATCTACACCACAGGCTGGAGGACAAATAACGTTGGGTGTCTCTGAAAAGAAAGATTTTAAAGATTTTAAAGAATTTCAAGTAACTAAGAAAATAGAAAATAAAATAAATTCAAAATGTGAGTAACTTTATTGTCTTAAAATCAGCAATCAAAAGGAAAACACAGGAAAGTGCTTATGAAATTAGTGTTTAAAGTGTATCTAGTGTTAAGGTACTTAATTCACTATATGTATATGTGGAGGCAGTGATCGTCATTATATATACAGGGTATCTGCTACATTTTAGATTTTCAAATTCATGACTTTCCATGTCCAAGAATTTTTCACGACTTAACGCAGTTACTATTTTCTCCGACAAAAACACAACAATAATTTTAAAAAAGCATTATAAAATTTTTTTCACTGAAATGATACGTATAACCAAAACTGTTATACTCGGCATCTTCATATTTATAGATTTTAAATTTAAAAAATGGAGTAAAGAAAGAGTTGAAGCAATAAAATAGCTTAAACAAAATACAAAAGCAAATAAATTTTTTTTCCTCTTTTTTTCTACAGAATTACATTTTAAAGATATCTTTCTTGTTCATCTAAAAGGTAAGAAATACTCGTGATTTTTCTGTTCTCATTTCGAAATAAAAAAATTCACCAAGGACTGGCTTGCTTCAGCTAAAATTTTAAATTGATAAAACTAAAAAATAAATAAGAACAAAAATTCTGAAATCACATAAGTTTAAAAGATAATTCGCTCTAGAAATTTCTTTCTTTCTTTCTTTTTTTTTTAATTTTCAGAAAAAACACCATAATTTTTAAAGAACACTATAAAAACATGTTTTATTTTAATCAAATATGACTGTGAGTGGGGATTTTGTTACAAATTCAGATATTCGGAACACCATTGGGGGAGGGGGTTTAAGTAAAAATTTGATTTATTAAGTAAGAATCAGCATATTCAAAATGGCCATATTTAAAATATACAAATCATAAAGAAAGTCCCTTAATGGAATCAAGACAACATTCTCTTCATCGAGAAGTTTCGTTAGCATGAATGATATCTTCAACGGTTAAGACTGGGAGGCCCAAAAGGGCACCCCCAGTCGCCACAAATTTAAAATTGAAAGTGAATGAATTTGTTCCCAACGGACACAGCAGCATGGAGAAGAGATCCAAGATTGGCAAATTATCGAAAGATAGCATAGCCAAAATAAAGCCCATAATCAATATTGGATTTGAAAATACTTTGGTGATTGCGAATCGCCAACAAGACTAAGAATTATTATAACCCTGTAACATATTTGTGGTAAGAAATTATTAATAAAGAGTTATAAATAGATTTTTGTTTTTGATTAGGTGCGGCAGTGAATGAATGAGTCTACATTAGTAATGAAATAAAAAGTCAGGCGTTACATTGATCGATAAGAAAAGAATAAAACATTTTAAGTTCGCTTTTATAAAGATTAACTCATTGATTTAATTTAAATATAATTCAATTAAGAATGCTTAAAAAAAGTATTTTAAAGTAATTAAAGATATTTTAAAGGCTAGGAAATATGAAATACCAATTATGGCATCATATTTTTAATACTATTAAAAAAGTAACACAATAGAGATAAATAGGTAACGAAATATAGATTTCTGAGAGTTCTTCAAGAAAGTTTCTAAGAGAATCACATTACTATCCTAAAAAGCAGGTGTGGCAAAAATAATGTTTTTTTTTTGAAAATATAAAATAAATTTTTAATTTTATTTCATTAAAAATTTTTTTTAAACATATACTAATCAAAGTTTCGATAAAATATATATGAATCCGATATTAAAAACAATGTTATACCTTAAGTACAGAATATTTCTAACTAAAATGGTTAATATAATTATATAAATAAAATCTAATTACTGAAAATACAAAATCTTAGTGGTTTTAATTCAAGCTCAATACTTTCATGAATTGGTGAAGACAAACACACAATCATGAAACAAAGAATAAATTAATTTAGATCAAGAAATATAAACAAAAACAAATGTATGAATTGTTATAAGTTATTCTTTACAAAACAAGTTACGTCTTTTTGTGCATTTTATTATAGTATAAGCTATGTGTTTAATAAGTTTTAATACATTTGAATTTAAACTAAATTGGCATAATAAAAATATGCTCGCTAAATAGCAAATTATTTTAAATACAACTAATGGAAAATTATATAACAATTGAATAACAATTTACATCTATCTCATTATCTTTCTGAATAAAACCTTCAGTAGCAAATGAAATCAGACTTTTAGAAGAAAACAAATTACAACCTGCATAAATTATAGTAAAATAAATTTCCTATACAAGTCATCCTAAATAATTTTAGAAAAAAAAATCAAATCATTTCTTGATAAAATTAAAGATGATGAATAATAATTTTACATGCATATGTATAATAATACTCAATATGAATCCTATATGAACATACACCGATGGATCAATAGTGGGATGTCCCAATATTTTAATATTTCTCCTATATAGGGCCAATATCAACCTATATACACTAAAAATAGAGAATAGGAATAATGAATATTATAAAATATCTGGTGAATCTGAGAACTCTATATAGGGCCGATATTGATTGTAAAATATTGTGTGAATCGGACAATTTCATATAGGGAATCGTAATATAATGGAAATTTGTACCCTTATTCATAGCTGCCAACATGGATATAAAAAATATCCAGTAGATTTTACGATATTTCATAATTGTTGCATGATATACTAAATATTTTACACAAAGGGTATTTTAGGGATTTTTAAAGTCATTAAAATAGAAAAAAAAAAGGCAATATTTTCCAGTTACGTTTAATCATACTTGAAATGTCATGTATTATGTTTACTCATAATTTCTAATAGTAATAGGCATTTCATTCATCAAAGATAGTCAAAGAGAATTTTTTTGATTAATTTAAAAAGAGAGTTCTGAATAAAAATAAACTGAATATTTTAGAACAAAAAAAGTTTTGAATTGATTTCTATAAATGGGGTTCTCTTCAATATGCATTAATAATACTGATTTAAGTATTCAAGCAAGCAAGCAATAATCTGTACAAAAATTCCATTTCAATAGTAATTTTTTTAGGAAACTTACTCAATTTTCTAAAATGTAAAAAAGACCAAGAGAATTTTAAATTAAACCAGTAGACCAGGAAAAACTGGCAACATCCAGTGGAGTTGGCAGCTATGCCTCATTGAGCCAAGATTCGTGAATATTGGTTCAAAGTTATTTGGCTGCAAGGAAGTTTGATTCAAATCATGTCTAAAAAATGTATTAAGCATACCGAAAAACTCGATGACTTTCTCGTGGGATCCCAGCTTGTTGGTAGCTTTGCAGGTGTAGAAGCCGTACTGCCTCTTCTCGGCAGTGATGATGCGGAGTGTCGTGTCGGTGAACTCGTCCGCAGTGGGATAGATTGATATCTGGTAGTGCTGGTTATCATTCAATTGCATATTGTCTTTTATCCACACAATGGAGGGAGAAGGAAATGCTTCCACGTGACACTCCAGGATCTGGTCAAATTGCAACGCCTGGCCGTAACGAGGACGCTCGATAGTCACGAAGGGGCGAACTGAAAATAGAAGAAAAAAACTTTGCTTTCATAAAACTTTTAGCGAGTTGACATTTTGTTAATGTGTTGCATTAGTAATGTGTGCCTTTTTTTTTGTCGAAAGTTGTTTTCAAAGAAAAACTGTTCTAACTCTGGTTATTCAATGTACAGTGAAACCTGTTTTTGTGCGATCCTTTTTTATGCAATTTTATTTTTGCGCGATTGGTTTTGTGGAATTTTATTTCTATGCAATTTATTTTTATGCGGTATATGAATCTTAGCGGCGTTAGCACCAGTTTAATGTTTCCTATCAATGTGCATATACATGTTGTGGACGAACACTGATTACGTGGTCTCCTTGACAACGATGTATCTGGACTGCGCGATGCTCTGTTTATTTACTTTCATTAGTTCATTTATTACCGTCAACTCGATTTTCCCTTCTGTTTAAAACTTATTCTGCACTAAACAAGTTGAAGTAAATCAGTAAAAAATTGTCTGCTGTGTTAAAATACTTAGTATTTTAAAATTAAACCGTTATTTTTATTTTGTAAATTCTCGTCTGCGTGTATCTCAAATACTATACACTTCGTATTCAGAGTTTTATACACGATTCATTTGATTAAGGATTCATTTTATAGTGAGATTAAAGGTAAATAAATTAATTACTTTTGTTTCTATTTATATGTAGTTTTTATAATTCTATTACAGCAGATAAAATATATGCAGAGATCCAGATTTCGAAAAAATTGGAAAAGCATTTTCTTAAAATAGATACCAATGCGGAAAGAAGCTTAAAATTCCAAAAAGAGCTGAGATCATGCATGTCTCACTATCGTGATGTTTACAAGCAATTGACCAGTCGACTGTCGTCACAAAAACTGATCACTGACTTTATGGTACCAAAAAACAAATCAATTGAAATCCTATCTTCAAGCGACGAAAGCGGTTTTCAACCAATTCATTCCAAGAAGATGCACGTTTTGGATTACGATGAGTAGCAGCAAACTATTTAACGTATAATTTTAAAACTTCTCTATATATATGTACAATGAAGAATTAAATATTTTTACTATTTCTTTAGGTCTAATTTAATTATTGAATTTAATTGAAAGCATTCTCACATATATTTCATGAATCATCGATGTATTTTCTGAGTGCGACGTTTTTTATGCGGTCCCTATCCACCGCATAAAAAAAGTTTTAGGTTGTATATCATACAAAGTTGTTATTATATGTAAGAATTTATAAAATTTTTGAATATTTTTTTTGTACGATTTCTTTTATGCGGTCCCTATCCACCACACAAAAACAGGTTTTACTGTATATGCATAAGGTAAAAAAACTACCAAAACAGAGTAGCTAACAATCAATTTTTCAATTTGATGAAAAAGAATTAATTGCATAAACATTTATTTAAATGGAGTTTATAGTTTGTCTATTTAAGAGAAGTCCTACTACAAAAACTATTTTTTAGAAAACTTTTGATGCTTGTTTAACTCCTGATTTTAATAAGTTCAACCATATAACCACTGTCACAGACCGTGCTTTGGCGACTGGCCAGATAGACAGACTATAATTATTAGTTATAAAATTAATTACTAAGTAAAAAATTATGTGGGGGCAGTAGTTATCGATAATGTCGACTTTCATCTATAAAAAGGTACTCCAACAGAGAATCAAGTTAACATGCCCTACGTACAAGTGAATTGGAATTGTATTTTTGTAGTGGTAGATACACTACAGTAGTCCCCCGCCAGAATTATAGCTGTGATAGAATTGGATGAATGGATACCACTAGTTGATTCCTTGCTGTTTTGTGAGAAGCTGAGAGAGCTGTATTAAAATCACTGTACTTTTGAGTGCTAATCGTGAGAGATGTTTTAAGTTCATGTTCGTGGTCGCTCTTATGTTTCCTTTAGCAGTCGAGTGAATACATTGTACGTTATGAGTGATTAAGACTGAGTAGCAACAGCACAAGAAGGTGGTTAATGTTGCCGTTCACAAGTAGCAAGTCAACTGTTCAATGTGGACCATCCATAGAAGTAGGCGTGTTCAGATCGAAGTGGGTGTTTCTGTCAAGATAGGCGTGTTCAAATCACGTCCGGGTCTCCAATGCAGGGAGAAGAGTTATCGACTATGTCAACCCTCATCTATGAAAAGGTACCCAGACATAGAATCGAGTTAATGTGCCTTATATACCAGTGAATCGGAATTGTATTTTTGTAGTGCTAGATACACAACATTTTATATTATTATTTATATCTGTACATACAAAAATCAAATATCTGTCACATAAAAATCAAAATTCATAAAATACAATGCAAACCATCAAAGACTCACATTCTATCTCTAATCCAATATTTCTGCGAGCACCTTTACCAACACCGTTATCTGCTATGCAGTAATATGTGCCCCTATCATCCTTTGTGATGTTAAAGATGGTAAACTTGCTGCCGATGAACATTGCACCACCCGTCGGAAGAAGCTCATTGTTTTCTCTCCTCCAAGAGATTCGGGGCTTCGGATAGCCAGAAGCAAAGCAATGCATATCCACTGTTGATCCCGTACTCGTGATCACAGATCTGGTGCTGTTGTCCGATATGACAGGTGGTACTAAAAAGAAATTTAAAAGGATGTCAATTGAATGACAAAGTTGGAAAAATCATAATTTTTAAAAATATATATAGTAGAGTCCCAATTATCCGAGTTAATGTTGATCATGACTTAACTCGGATAACGGAAAAACTTGGTTAAAGCGAAGAGTATAAAAAAGGAAAGAAAAAGAGTAGGTATGAATGTAATATATTTAACAAATACAAAATTTATACGAGTACACCATACACAATTCATATCGTAATATGTAGCTTACTTAAAAACACTTAAAGAGCATACTTTACGAGAATTAAAGTGTTTTTACTTAAAAAAGTCCTTAATCGTTATTTGTTTTTCATTACTTTAGCCCTTTCCGGAGCAATGTTTCGCCTTTCTTTTCAGGGATAACAGGAAGGCTGGTATTGCCAACACCTACTAGAAGGTCAAGACCTGCTGGCTCAACGATTTCAACTCCGTGACGTCATGAAGAGAAGGCAATAGCGTCTGTAGCTCTAACATAGGAACGCCATTGACGAGAGCAGTTTACACGTGAATGTTGCAGCAAAATTTGATTTTATATCGAAGATTTAAAGAGATATCGAAGTAAGTAAAAGTTACTATTTTTTTTATGAACGTGTTATGTTTGATTTCAATAGATTTTTCTCCAATATGTTGTAATTTAAGTTTGAAATCGGATTGAAAGCACGTATATAATTTAACTTGCATTGGTGTTATGTTGTGAGACGTTATTTGAGTCTCTAATGTATTTATATGTGTTATCTGATCTATTTCCATTTGAATTATAAAATAACATAATTTAGTATTCAAATATAAAATTTCAAAAGCATTCGATTGTATTTTATATTCATACTTCATGAGCTAAAGCATCTTAAATGAATCTAAGCGATTTAAATAGACTGCTCAAGATTTTAAGTAGCCCTAGAATTGTTTATAAAATATACATTTCAATAAATCGGTTAAAATATGTTTGAATTATACATTTATCTAAGCAAATTAAAATATATTAGTTACAATCCAACATGTTTTACTGCTAAACTTTTTAGTGTTTGTAAGAATAAAATATGCAATTTCTTGAAATACTAATAAGATGTTTGTAATGTTTTGTACATTATGTATGTTAGATTAGAGATTTGTATATATCTTTCTCAGTAAAAATACTAAATAATTTGAAATGTAGAATTAGCAGTTGGTATAAGTTTACCAATATTTTAAAACTACTTTTCACTAATAAACAAGAATTACAAAGAAATTTAAACTGTATTGGTGATGAAAAGTAGTTATTTTTAACTCTAATGAAATTATATTTAAACAAATTTTAGTAAAAAAATACCATATGTATTTATCTGAAGAATGCTGATAGAAGTTACATTTGTTTATATTTAGCTATTAGAATTTTAAATTTAAATATGCCTGAGAAGAATTTTAATATTGAAGAATTTCTAAATGTACCAATGTTCGGGGATAAAATTATTAGTTTTTAATTCTATTTCAAGATTTGGTGTCATTGTTAACTTATAGTTCTTCTAATGTGCTGTTAAAATACTTTTAAATATTTTAAATAAAGAAAATTTTAGTGAATAAATTACTTAATTTAAAACTTTTTTTAGAGATTGTTGACTACATTTAGCAGAACTTTGTTTTTTTTGAACCAAAACTTTAGAAAATTTATTTAAGAATCTGTAAACTAAGAAAAATATTTTTTAAGATATTATTTGAAATGTAGAATTACCAGTTGGTTTAATTTTAGCAATATTTGAAAACTACTTTTCACTAATTATTATAAACAAGCATTACAAAGAAATTTTAACTGTTTTGGTGATGAAAAGTAGTTATTTTTAACTGTAATGAAATTAAATTTGAACCAATTTTAGTAAAAAAATACCTTAAGTGTTTATCTGTAGAATGCTGATAGAAGTTACATTTGTTAATATTTAGTTATTAGAATTTTAAATTTAAATATGCCTCAGTAGAATTTTAATATTGAAGAATTTCTAAATGTACCAATGTTCGGGGATAAAAATATTAGTTCCGAATTCTATATCAAGGTTTGGTGTATTATGTTAACTTATAGTTCTTCTAGTGTGCTGCTGAAGTACTTTTAAGTATTTTGAATAAAGAAAATTTTAGTGAATAAATTACTTAATTGAACACTTATTTTAGAGATTGTTGACTACATTTAGCAGAGCTTTGTTTATATTAACCAAAACTTTAGAAATTTATTTAAGATTCAGATAACTATGAAAAATATTTTTTAACATATTTTTTGGGAAGTAAAACAATTTTTTTAAATTTTCATTATTCCAATGACAAATTAAGGTAAGTGTTGATAAATTAATATTTTAGTTTCAGCCACGAGTCTTAATGTCTGTTTATTTTTCAGGCTTCAAGCATGATTTATGCTTGTTGTGTTCTCTTGTGTGGAGGGAACTATGATGATAATCACAAGGTATTTCGTTTCCCCCAAGACACACAACTGCAGCAATTGTGGTGTGATTCATTTATGTAAAAAATATTTAAAATTTGTATTTAACTTTTAACTAAGAATATTTGTTTAAATTAATAAAGATTTATTATATGTTTAAATTAACAAGGATTATCACTTTTAAAATGCTTTCCTTAAGTAGATTGTTTTTCATCACCCCTTTTAAAAATAAATATATAATTATCATTGTGAATTGTAAGATGATTAATAGGATGTCTTATATCAAGACTTTTAAAAATAAATATTTAATTACTAACATAAATTGTAAAATGATTAATAGGAAGGTCATAGGAATTTAAACCTTCAATTTAATCTAATGTTTTTAAAGTTTTAAAAATGTATTGTAAACAATAGTCTTTTTTTCATGAACTTCTTGTTTACTTTCAAAACTTTTCTTAGTCTTAATTATTGGGTGATGTAATGCAACAACTTTGCATTATTTACATTATATTTTGTGGTATATTTCATCAGAAACTGCAATTTTAAGAAACTACAATTTTGTTTTTACTAGTATATATTTCTTATTATCCTATAAAAATAGTTAAAAGCTCCATAAGTATGAGATATTTGTGTGTTTTTCTAAAAGGAAAATTTAATTGGTAATTTACTTATAACTCCAGATTTAATTTATAATATAGAATAGTATTTAAAAAATAAGAGGAAAATTTAGATTATGTAAGGACATTTCGCTCAATATTTTATTTAATTTACTATCCTTTTTCATTTCCTTCTTTCGGATAATTAAATTTCTCAAAATCAACAAGTATTTAAAATATGTTGTTACAGGAACAAAAGTGTCGGGTAATTTGAATGGTTCATATACGGTAAAGTATTTAATAACTACTATACAATCTATATTATATAAAACGCTAATATGTATGTATCAATAAAACCGATGACATTTCTTTTAGAACGATGGCAACAGTTTTCATTTTTAACTGATAGGCTTCGGCGCGCAAGAGCACGTAGTGAGCATCATATGTCTAATCGGGAGAATTCTCACCAAATTATCAAAAAAATTCTCACAAAATTATCTTCATCGAATCTGATGCTTTACATCCGGCTTTCAGTACTATTTCATATTGTTTTACAACACATGGTTTTAGCCCTCAGGTGGAAAAGACTTTAAAACAAAACTTACAACATTTACTTTTCTCAACAACTGAATAGTGTGATTAAGAAAAATATGTGAACTGTTTTCAATTTTAAATTAATATTGAAATGCACTGATTTAGAATTTTCTACAGTGAAAAGTTTTCGAACTTCAATGTTCAAAAAAGTATACAAAAGCCAGACGTTAAGAACGTATCCAATGAGCGAGCAAAGCGAGCATCGGATTGCGAAGCAATCCGAAATGAACTGCGAAAGCAGTTCCAGGGGTTGGCGAGCGCTAGCGAGCAGGGGACGAAGCCTCCTAGTCATTAGTAATTCACTGTGTTATTTTTACATGTATATTAACAGTTTTATCAATGGGCAACATTTTCGAAAAAGATTGTGTCATTAATATGCACGGAAAAATACAGTATGTAAGCAAATACTTTGAATTATCAATGAAATTTTTTTTACCAAATTTTTGTTTGCTCTCTAGGGTATGTTTTAAAATAAAATGTTTGTAAATTTGGTCATTTAAAAATATACGACATTTACAATATGTTTTCTTCAGAAGTATAGTAATCTTGAAATTGCAAGTGATGAAATAGTTTAATAAGTAAAAATTGCATTCATTATTTATTTTGGTGTACTTTTTATGCTCCTGTTATTTTATTAAGGGAAGACATAAACAAATAATTTTTGGTCAGTATATAAATTTGATATATTATGGTAGAGCTTTGTAGATATTTTGCATATGTCTTGTATGTTGGGGAGTTATGTTGGGAATCTTAGTCAGAAAAAAATTTTGCCTCTGCACCCATGATTATAATGAAATTAAATTGATAAAGTAAAAATTTTCCCTGGTTCCAATTTTTTGTTCGCTTTATGGGGTTATATTTTAAAATAAAATGTTTGGAAATTTGGTCATTTAAAAATATATGACAATTACAATGTTTTCTTCAGAAGTATAGTAATCTTGAAATTGCAAGTAATGATATAATTGAGTCGCTCAGAAGCCAATGCGGTTAAGTCCAAAACACAAAAATTGAGAAAATTAATGTTTTTTGATACACTAGTTTTTAAAATTCTTGGTTTATTAATTTAATTAGAAAAGTGTATAAAGACTTTTTTCGAGGTGTAAACTCTGCAAAAAAACAAGATATGTACAGGATGAGTAAATAAAAACGTAAGTATTTATTGAAATAATGACAGCATCCTAAAAATTTTAGGACTTATACCTTTTGGCAGCTGAAAAAGATAAAAAATTTATGTAAAAAAATATTGATAAAAGGTGGACTTATTCATAATGGCTTCTGAAGTTATTATACAATATATTCAGAAGCTATTAAAAAAAGGGCTGTCTAACCTAGAAAAAGTAACAAACGAGTAAATCCTTTAATAACTAAGAAGATTATTATTTATTTCATCAAAATTTCCAAAAATCAGAAAATATCAAAAAATGGACGTAACCGTATTGGCTTCTGAGCGGCTCAATTAATGATATATGTTTTAAAATAAAATTTTTAAAAATTTTATTTGCTTTTGTAAATATATTTTCTCCTTACTGATTTAAATAAAGCTTTTGTTCTATATATATGTTTGTGTCATTATTAAAGCATACTTATACTTTATGATAAAATTAATCTTCATATACTTAAATACCTCATTCACAAAGTTTTAGTCTATATCATCAAAGTAATGATTCAGCTTATTTAATAAGTCATATTAAATCACTTTTATCACATGTATACAAAACAAAAGAACATAGAAAGAAATTAAAGGGACAGATGTTAATTTGTCAGTTTACTGCAGTAAATAAAAAAATTTCAGAATAATTATATACATTTGCTATAAATATTTCAAAAGTTTATAAAGGATAAACATTTTTGTGCTTTTTTTTTATAGAATTTTACGTTAAGTGTTTTTTCCAATAACATTTTGTTTACATGAATGTAATGTTAAGTACTAATTTTCAATTCTTAGGAAAATATTTTTATTTTTAATCAATCAATATTTATTTAACATGATTGATTACTCTTAAAATAGTTTAAAATTGAAATTTATCCTTTGAAAAAAGGTTTGGATAAATCTTATGAAAATAATCAAACAAAAAAAATCTTTAAAAACTAATCTAAAATTACTTACTGCATTAATTTACTTATTTTTTATCATGGTTTTAATATAATAAATTTAAAATGAATCTTTGCCTTAATATAATAAATTTAAAATGAATCTTTTGATTCATTTTAAATTTATTATATTAAGGCAAAGATTATATATACACAATTATTCAGATCATAAAAAAATTTGGATTCTTATTTTTAGCTTTTAAAAATGAAAGAAACACAATAAAACTAATAAGGAATCGACTATCCTCATGTCTTCACAACCTCCTCTGATCACTCTGAAGGTAGAAAACAGCAATGATCTTTTCTACCTTCTGATCATCACAAACAAGCTCCTAGGCCTTCTACTCTAGGTGGTTATGGTATTGACCTTCTTGTTGTTCTATATCAGTGATTCTCAACCACTGTGCCACCAAATTCTTAAAATGAGCCGCCAAATATTAGAAATTATACAATAAAAATTATAATGCTTTTTTTTTATTACAAGTAAAGTTTAAATTAAAGAAAAGTGTATATATATATTATAATTTTTCCACGCTTAACTGCGTGAACATCTTTGTCGGCGATTGTCTTGTCTCTGACAATCTCAAAATAAGTTAAAATAAGAAGGAAGTGTTTAAATTGTCTTTGACAATTTTAAAAAATGTTGAAATAAGTAGGAAATTTAATGATTATTAAAATGATTAATTAACAAAGGAAAGCAAGCTAAATATTAACTTTCAAACGGAAATAAAAGCTAATCATTAAAATAAGCTATGCAATTAATTGTTCTTAAAACAAATTAACAAAGGATAACTAACAAAAAAATAAGCTAACAATTAATAATCAGCAAAAAAACTAGTTAACAAGAAATCGCAAAAAATAACAGTTAATAGCTATAGAAAACAAGCTAGCAATTAATAACTAGCAAAAAAAATAACTGTTACGAACTAACTAAAAATCAGTCGAAAGAAATACTTAATCCCTTATAAACGTGCTTTTGTAATACATATTATTTTACTTCACATTCAAAATTATTATCACAAACTATTTAACACAGTGTATTATAGTTAAGTAAACAAATCTTAAACTAATTTTTTTCATTGTGTGCCGTCAACTTCCGGAATCGCTAAAAGTGTGCCGCCCCACAAAAAAGGTTGAGAATCACTGTTCCATATATTCAATAACACTTTTGATAGCTTTTAGTTCCTTTGTATGAGAGATTTTAATACGATGATTTTTATCGTCACTGTCTTTATCATCTTCGCTAGATTAATTTTCATTAGTGATGATATTAATGATAATTTCCTCAGTAATCTTGTGTTATCTTTCAGCTTGTTTTCCCGAGTGTTTGGAAGATAAAACTCAGAATTGTTGGTGGCAGTAGTTTTAAAAATAAACTCGAACAAAAAAATCCTTGCAATATTTGATAGCTCGGTTAAAGTGGAAGCATAGATAATCAGGGCTCTAGGGTATATATATATATAACGTCGTTGCCGAGTAGGAGGATTAAAACAGGTCTTAGGTCGGGAAGGAGGGGTCAGGGAAGACATTTACGCGCTATAGCGCGTAAAATGCGCAAAAAATTGAAATCGGACGCAAAAAAATGATCGCTACGCGTCCCGCAGGACGCGTAAATTTTTGAAGAAAGTTTATAAATTTCCCGACTTTTTAATCTTTGATATCGAAACATTTTAATAAAATCGAAAAATTGGGACGTAAAAAATAAATCTGTATGCATCCTCGGTATAAAAAAAAAAAAAAACCCTGTCTCCAGAGTTAGACCAACACATGTTAGACACACAGGTGGGAAACCAGTTCTATGACTCAAAATGTTGACCATTATAGCAGGAAACATCCTACAAGACTTTCCCCCCAAACTTCTTTTCTCTGCTGAAAACAGTGACGTCATCGGAACTGAGGGACGCAGGTGTTATTGAATGGGGGGGAAATGACCGTACCGGATTTAAGTGACCTCGAATGAGCAAGTAGAAAGAAAGAGGTTGAAGGGGTGGGAAAAATTGAAGGGGTTTATTTTCAAAATATCATAGTACACACGTAGAAGATTAGGGTTGATTGGTTATTTAATACCTACGTCATGCAATCACATTTTTAGTGGCCCCTTACCCTTTATTTTCGAAGGAGGTACTTACGCACCGTTATATTAAGCTATATGTTACTTTTAGTTCAGTTAGAGTCAAACATTTTTAATGACCTGACCTACGCATCCAAACTTTTAATTTTGTTTTATAATTAATACATGTGCAATAATTAAACGATGCCTAAAGTACGTAACTTTAATATTAGGTGGAAAACTGAATTTAATTGGTTAGTCTACGAAAATGGTAAAATGTTTTGTGATATATGCCGCAAGGCACGAATAAAAAATGCATTCACCACTGGCTGTGAGAATTTTCAACGTAGCGCACTAGTCCGGCATATTGACACATCGGGAAAAGACTCTTCTGCTCATCATTTACGTGCTCTTAATATATTAGAACAGCAACGGTCTTTTAAAGTGTCATCTGAAAAACAAATTGCTAATTGTGTTCAAGATTATTCACAAATGCGAACGGTCTATTGGATGGCTAAAGAAGAAATAGCAGAAGCNTTTTTCTCTTTTCTTTTTCTGTTCACTGATATGCATGCAATGCATTTTCCCCACCCCCCTCGTAAATCAAGCAGAAAACGAAATCAGCATGCCACACCCTTGAGTTTGATTGACGGCCTAAAGGAAAAAATAAAACATTCCTCCCTTCCCTGCCTTCAAGGTCACAGAGGAAATGACGTTTCTCTGGGTAAACGGGGAAAAAAATTTTCCCCTTCCTTACATTTTCCTCTACTCAACTTCAAGGATGAGTCCAAATTCCGCTTTTTTCATTCTAGTTTAAAATGGTGGGAAAATCGAGCAAAATTTTTCCCGGTTTTCTGGTTTCCCGGTTATCTGGATACCGGATAAATGGTTCTCTACTGTATTTGTTTAAAAATTTATGTAAAGGACCCATTTTTTTTTCAAAAGGACCCAGTTTTTTAAAAGTCATGGGTCCCAGGGACCCGGGGTTTTGAAAGCCTAGTGTCTTCCCTGAGGGGTACAAAATTTATTTATTAATTATTAGACAACAGCAGTCATGAGAGTGAGTAAAAGTGAAAACGAAAAGTTGTGCTCCTTGGTTATATGTTACGGAAAATCTTGCAAAGTAAAATCCGTAAAATGTCTTAATTTAGGGAAAGAGGGAAATCTTAGTAGTTGCTATTGGTTTATGAAATAGATCGAATGTTTCCCACACAGAGCAGGGGGAAATATGTCCTGCTTTTAATTAAATGCATACTTGAGCCAAAAATAGATTTAAGAACAGGATGTGGCTTTTAAAAGTGTGAGAAAGTATTTCGATTAGAATAATTAATTAGGATAGCATAAAAAGATCAATTGAAGCTTTTTATGTTACATATATATAAAAAAATTTCTTAATATAAATCTTATTATTTTTTTTTTGAAATTTAAATTACAGATAAGTAATGAATAAATAATTTATAATTATTTTTTGATGAACTCCAGCATCTTATCCTCATGATGTAATTAGATATCAAATGAAGAGTAAATTAGTTTAAATCTGAAAATATTATTGAAAAATTGTCTTAAATTACTCTGAACAGAACAAGTATTTCATCATTATTGATATACTTTAACTAATTTAATAAGTTTTCAAAGCATTTAAACTCAAATAAACATAAAATTAAATTGGTACAATTAAAATATTATTATTAAACAGCAAATTATTGTATAAACAGTTAATGGAAAATTATTGCTTTTAAACTTTCATCCACAAGTCTTTTTTATTATTATATTTGTTTATTTTGAAATATGATATTAATTATATATCGCTTTACCTTATTTCCTTCTCCTTATTTTCCTTAAATCTCATTTTCAAAAAGGGGAAATTAAGCACTTTTTAATAAAACCCAATTAAATAAGCACATTTAAGGGCTTTTACAAAACAAAAATCAAAAATAAGCATCTTTAAGGACTTTTTAAAAACACTGACATCCTGACGCACCATGACAAATGAACTTGAATGATTTTTCGTGGTTTTTACAAGCATTAGATAAGTCTGTTTGAGTTCATTAGAAGCAAGTTCATCAAGTACCCACAACACATAAAATTAACATTCCTGTTAAAACTACATATAAAAGTCAAACAAAATAAAAAGTAAGAATTGTCCTCAAAGAACACTAATGCAACTTACATCTTACATGAACCCACACATTGGCTCGCAGCTTACTGGCGGCCCCTATAATAATCTGGCATTCATACAGCCCAGCATCAATTTCTTGCAGCTTATTAATCTAAAAGTACAACAAAGTGTTAACAAAAGTTTAATATTGTTGGTCTATCAAAAGCTCCAAACAGTAAACATGCTTTAAAGTTATCATTATAAAAACAGGATACCATTTAAAGAGGTATAAGTTACAAATAAGAGAATATGTTAGCAAATATCTTACACTGGATATGTTTTGATTTTAAAAACAAAAAATACAGTATTTATTAATGATTAACATTTTTCTATTATACAGTCCAACTTCCCAAAAGTGAATCTTTGGTTCCCCATAACCAGGAATTCAATATAACCGTTCCGCAAACAATTTTAATTAATGGTTCTAAACTCCCCCCTTTTATTACATATTATTTAAATAAATGATCATTAAAATGAAATACAAAAATGACTAAAAAATAATATATAACAAAAATGTGCAAACTTTGATTTTTTTTTATCTTGCATACAAAAAAATTAGTAATCTTTAGCTGATAAGCAATCCTCAACATCAGATATGGAAACACTTCCCGGCTCACAGATAATTTTTCCTGAGTTTATCTTATTCCGCTTTTTAAACCTGTCTAACTAGACATTCAAGCACATAAAAGTTGCCTTACTAAATCGCTTAGCAAATTCATCGGCTCTGATTTGAAGCATTTGTTCAGATACAGGAAGATTGTGACTTCTTTGAATGCTGAACCAATTCAATAATGAAGCAAACAAGAAAAATACTTATCGCTACATTCCATGCTATAAATGGTTTTAAATACCGGTATACATATTTATTTAGAAGTAGAAATTTCAAAATTATTATAAAAAAATGAAGAAAATAAATCAGTCAATGAGAGAAAAAAGTTTATAATATCCAACTTCTTCTCATTTTTTAGTATACTATATCCACAAAAAATAACATACGTGCATAGCAAGGTATGGGAGCGATTATTTTGTTCCTCATATCTGGGAATTCACTATAAACCGTGTTTTCTATAGCAGGGTTTGACTGTATAACATTTTCAATTCATAAATGTAAAACAACAGTATGAATAAAATAAAAATATATATTCAAATGAATGAGATTATTAAAAAGAAAAAAATGCAAGTTATGAATAGAATAAAACCATTAATAGTGGTAAAAATTCACATATAAGAAAATAAAAAATAACTAATTTTAACCCACTGGCGGTTAAGGAAATGGGCGAAATTGGGAGAATGTTACTCACCTACACACAGTTCCCCTATCCATTAACATGGGAAAACAGGTTTTGCTATGCAGAAAAGACTGCAGGCTAAAATGCGACTTATTACGTGCATAACCGTCAGTGGGTTAAATCAAAAGAATAGATTTGTTTTTCCCTTCCCAGGAGAAATTATCATAAAAACTGATTTTTTTTTTTAATTAATTAAAATTTTTAATTTGAAAAAAAAAAAAAAAAAAAAACTTTGTTGCAATTTAAAAGACAATTGTGCAAGTTATACACTGAAGTATTTAAAGCAGTTTAACAGAACTAACTAAAATGTTTAAAACTTCAAATTATAAATAGTCCCTTCCTTTTTACTTTTTTCATGTCATATTTTGTCAGTAAAATATTTAGTACAGTGAAATCTGCTTCTAAATCTAAGGATGTATTGCTGGCATGGTCAACTAAAGCTGAAAGTCAACTTAAGGCGAAGATTTTTTTATCATTTTCTTTTTTAACTTTTTTTTATAGTTTTAAAGAATTCTTACGATTTGCCAACATTATAACTTCACAATAAAAAATTAGTTCATGCTATTTCATTATTAATAATAACTATTTTTTTTTTTTCAAATTTTTTTTTTACTAAGTAATATAAATACGAAAAGAAAAAAAATATTAATACTTAAAGAAAAAAAGGTAAAATTGTAACAAATATTAAATTGAGAATTCTATTATTTATTTTTTATACATATATAATTCCATCATAAAATAGAATTTTTAACATAAAACCCTAATAATTAATTTTAGATTATTGAACTATTCAACTATTAAGAACATACATCTTAGATGCAAGAAAAAGAATACCTTCAAAACATAAGTCTTGGTGTCATCCTTGAATCTAATAGCATAGCGCTCTCCAGGAACAATTTGGTTTGTATTGGATGAAATGAATAATTGATCTGATGGCTGATCTGGATTTGTCTTCACCCAAACAACCTGCAAAAAAATAATATTATATGCAAAAGATTTAAGTAAGATTTACTCAAAAATTATACTTGTATTTGTTAGAGCAGATTTGGAATGAATTGACAGTTATGCATACCTGCCAATAGAACTGGGCAATAAATCGATGCATCGGAAAATATCGATTCTATGCAATCATCGCCTATCCGATGTTTGGATTGGCAATCTTACAAAACATGGAAAATTGTGATTTCCTGAGATGTGTACGATACTTTCCGGTGTATCGTCGACATTGATGTCTATGCATGCAAGATTGAGGATTGTTCCCAATAGTACATCAATGTTTGCAAGCTCTCAAAAGAGCATTTTCCTCCGTAAGTGTGCAGTGATAGCTGAGGCGCATGATAATTATCTTTCTCCTAAATTTGTTATATCGTGACTTATTGTTTTGCTGTCATGATGAATCCGAATGTGATTGAGAATCAAAGTGTTGTGCAAACCTGTTGATTTTTTTACAATCAATTCATCCGTTTAATGTTTTTTAACCACTATTTCACAGTCATTTATGTCTTTAAATATTGAAAAATAATTATCAAAAAAATGCAACATTTATTTTAAAAGAAATGCAACTTACTAATTGCGAATTTACACAGTACTAAATAAAAAACATTAATGTACCGAAACCTCGTGATGCATCAAAATATCGCAATGTTAGCGTGAGGATACATCGTGATACCAAAATCTTAACACTGCCCAGTCTTACTTGCCAACATTAGAGAAATAAAAATAACGGATATTTTACTAGCGAATTTTTTAGGCACCGAGTAAAGTGTTTTAATACATCATGCATAATCATGTAAGTCAAAAAGTGAAAATTATAATTTGAAATAATAAACATTACATTTAAAAATATCTACATAAATCTTAATCTAAAGCAGATTTTTTTAAACAATTATTAAACTATTAACACCCAACATCAGTACTAGCAATAGCACCATCGGTTGAGAAATAAACAAAGTATTTTAGTCATCAGCGGATATTTTATAGACAATTTATTTTTTCAAATTTCTTCAACAAATACGGAGAAATTTGAGAATACATGGGTACACAGGAGATAGTTGTAAAATTTAGGAGTCCTTGTTTTAAAAAAAAAGAGACTTAACAGGTATGAGAATGTATCCTAAAAGGGCATATGATCAACACATCTAAGCATGCTAAAAATATAAAACTCTCACTGTTTTAATTATGAACAAAATTAACACAAAAATTAAAGTTTTTTCAAAAAATAAAAAAAGATGGGTATAAAAGCAAATAATAAATATTACAATAATTAAAAGGAATTTTTAAATTATCTTTAACAAAAATACTGCTTTTGAAATTTTACGAAACTTTTTCCCTTACTTAAAACAAAGTAAGGTTGACTAAAAGCCAAAGTCTCTCTCTTTAAAAAAAAAAAAAAGCTTTAATTCTATTTTTAATTAAAGAAATTAAAAAATAAATATATATATATAGAGAGAAAATTTGAACAAGTTTATTAGAACTAACCAGTAAATTATTTCAATAATTTAAATGTACTGCTTGAAATAAAAAATATATTTAAAAATCAATTAACAAAGAAATTCTTCTTTCTAGAACAGGGTGCATAGCCAAATCTTTCAACAAAAAATAAGCACCTTTTAAGTTTTTTTTATGCAACTCAAACAATATTTTTAAGCACTATATACATTAACAAAATGCAAAATAATTTTCAAAGACTTTACATGGTCATGATAAAATAAATAGTTTCAGACAAAGAACTCTTTTCTTGAGTATATTAGCCAATATAAAAAGATTAAGGGATTTTTCGATTTGAAAAATGAAATCTGAAGTTGAGAATATCTTGCAAAATACGGTAGCGTTGCACACGAGAGTGCAATAATAGTAGCGAACCCAGCTCAGTAGAGGCACATGCAGACTCGTAAGTGTTTCATTAAACATGTAAAATGATTGGCGTTTTCGTACGCTGTGGACCGATGGTATGCCGAAATAGACTGTGGTTGAATGCATTCTGAAAACACTGAATAATGTGAAAACCACGCATGTTGCATAATATGTGGCGAAAATTGACATGGTAAAGAAAAACATCTTATTTTTAAAAGGGAAATTTAAGCACTTTTAAACCATCCAATGAAAATAGCACCTTTAATAGCTTTTAAAGAATGAAAATCAAAAATAAGCACTTTTTAAAAGTGCTACGCAGCATGTAAATTGTCACCACCTATTTAAGACTATTACAAATTGAATATCATAGAGAAGAAAATTTCCATACCGAATAATCTTCAGCATACTGAACTTGACATTCTAGCTCTACTGTATCTCCCACATCAACAACCTTTTCCTGGGATATGAAAGAAATGGTTGGACTTCGTTGAGAAAATCCTAAAAAGGAAAACAAAAATTCTATGTACCTTTTAGCTAAAAGTTTGTATAATAAGGAATTTGTTTTCCAATTATGTCAGAATCTTAGATTTAATTTTAATGTAAAATTGAATTTAAATGATAAATTACAATACAGCAAATTTATAGTTTATCTAAAGTAAGAATTCCTCAAACCATTTGTCTGCATCCGCGGTAGTGACTATGGAAAGAGGTATTGCTATTTTGAGCAGGGGTGAGGGGTCACTGTTAAGGGCAGGTTTCGAGTTGGCAAGAGAAAGGGAATCTTTTTTTTTTTCTTTTCGGTCTATTGTTCTAGCCCTAGCATGAAGAGAAGCTACACTTCCTGAAATGCGCTAATCTTGTTTCCATAGCAGCAGACAGCCTCAGACTTTGGGACAGGGGGAGACAAGCTATATAATATTGTAGACAAGCTATATAATATTCACGGTGATGATGAAGCATGTTATTTTATAACAATAAAATGGAGTGAAATATGAAACACGAAAAAAAAAAGCATATCATCCTATATAAAAAACTATGCAAATAAAATCTAGATTTTGATATTTAAACAGTTCTTCATATAAAGTTTGGTTTTACTATACTCATTACATAAAATACTATTGCAAAATTGCAGTTAATTTTAAATTCTTAAGAAACTCATTAAATTTACTTTTTCTTAAGTGTTGCTTTTTAGTTTTTGCTTATTTTAAAATGATATATTAAATAGCTTAAAAATTAATACAAATATTTCTTTCTGAAAACTGATTAAAAAATAATACAAATATTTTTTCTGAAAAAGAGTTTTTTTCACTTAGGTTGAAAAAAAACCTATATCTTCCGAATCAGGTTTTTTTTTTTTCTCACTTTGAAAGAAACTTGCCATCCTGTTTTAAAAGAATCAAAAAAAATCTTATAAATTGTAGGAAATCTACCTTAGAGCACCTACCGCCACTTATGTAAAAAATTTTGCAAGATTCCTATTAAAAACAAGATTCGTATTAATAAAATTTTCCTACCTCATAAAAAAAGTAATAAAATTACAGACATTTTTGCTTTAGCAAAATTTTTTAACTTTTGTTGTCAAGTTTTTGATAATTGACAGTTTTATCCGGCTTTAACCATGGTTTTATTTGTCACATCAAAAACCTTTTTTTGACATGTTTAAAAAACCTAAATTTTCAGAGTAAGGGAAATTATTAGCTATTATAAATAATAAGTCAGAGCTCATTCTAGGCAGAAAAAAGGGCAAGGTGCAAAATTTTAAAAAAAAGGGCGTTATTGTTCTAAAAAGGCAATAATTTACACATTCTATTAAAAAACATTGTCATTTTTCTTAAACTTTACAAAAAGTACCAAAGCAATCATATTAATAATTTTTATTAATAAATTAAAAAATATATATATATATATATATATATAACGAGTTAATGAGCTAATTAGCTTAGTAATTTATTTAAAATGCATGCATATATTAATAAAATAATAAATGTATGTTTTTAAGCATCTCTAGTTATGATTTAGTAATCAAAATGATTAATAATAATTATGATTTAATGATAGGGAAGTATACTGCAAACTTTCAAAGACAAGTGCAACAAGAGGGTGTGATGGCTATTTTTCTTTTCCCATATAAATCTATGTATTGACAGCAATGACAAACTAAATAAAAAGAGTTGAAAATAAAAAAGGGTTGAGGAAAGATAGGGCAAAAAGGGTACTATTACATCAGGGTACTAATTTACTTCAGGGGCAACAGGATGGATTCTTTTGACTAAAACGGGGCAGCAGGGTGCTGCGCCCTGTTTACCTTGCCTAGAATGAGCTCTGAATAAGTATTAATAAATAAAGACACATATAAAATTACAAGTGATCAATCATGCATGTAATTTTTCAGGCTCTTGATTAGAGACGATTTAACCACTTAGTCATCCATCGCATTGACTGTTATAGCTAGGGTTTTCACATGACTTTAAAATCTTGATCTTTTAATGCTATAACATTTTGTACAGTGAATTATTAAATAGCGCATTTAAGGATTCACTTTTAGATGTGGGCTATTCCATGTTAACTTACGTTACATTCACAGAAACTTTATTGCACTGAGAGCTTAGAAGCAAACAAATAATACTAATATACAATCTAAAATAAAGTGATTTCTTAAAATTACAATCAAAACCAAAAGGAACCTAATTAGAATAATTAATATTTTTCAATTTAAGCAGTGTAAAAACCTAAAACTAGTGTGGTAACTTACGTTACTGAAAAAGGAATGGCATAAATTTGCAATATGCTTGAAGGCAAAATTCTGTTCTTATACAAATGTTAATTGATTAAGATTATATGTATCATTTTACTGACATGTTTAAATATTTATTATGCCTAGATTTAGGATTTTATTTCAAAAGTTAAATTAAATATAATTTTTTAAATGGGTAACTTACGTTACAGTAACTTACGTTACGAAATTCCCTTTGCATCAAACTTTTACTCCAGTAATGTACAAATGCAAATTAACATATTTAAACAGTATAGTGCAAGGGAGAAAAAGTGTACATGAAGTAAACTCAAAAAACTTTTGATTTACACACTTGATTCAGACATTACTATGCACACTTATAATGTCCTCTGTTATTAACTAGTATAGGGGCTCAATTCTTTTCACCATGCTTTTTTTCTGGTAGAATATTTCATCTCTTTTTCCTGGTCATTTCCAATAGATTCCCACAGCAGCCATTACATTGACTTTAAATTCTTGCTCTTCAACAGACATTACCACACCAGGATATAACATTTCCTCGTATCTAACCATATACCAATCTCCAGCTTTTATTTTGGATTCATCATTTTGTTTTTCAACATCTTTCACTTAAAAAACCCTTCTGGTATACCTTCTTGAACTTTTAAATGGTGGATCTGCTTAATGTTTTTAATCTGTGGAGCTTTTGAGAATAGACTAGACAGATTAACTTTTTCTGACGCTTCTTAATATCTTCTGGTGTGATTTCTACCATATTTATTTTTGTTCAATGCTCTTGTGTTGCTACCCCAAACTCAGAGGCATTGATGACAATATGTTTTCTTTTCTATACGACATTTCTTACACTTCCTTTAATAGATCCACCTGTCCCATCAACAGGACTCTTGCCGTGTGACGTGGCAAAATAATTCCACATCAATATTTTTCCATGATGAATCTCAAAAACAGGTAAGACCGGAGTTATATATCGATTCTTGAACTGACTCCTTGGCCCATCTGACCAGATGTGAACATTTTTGATATCCACCGGCACACATTCTCCAGACCAGCACTCATCTGTTTTTTCTGAACATAAAAATAATTTTCTGAAGAATTGCGTAAGATGGAACATTATGGAATTTTCTGAAGGTTTCAGCAGCTTATCCGAAGTTTTCGTGATACTTACAAAGACAAACATTTCTAGGAGGTTTGTTACTAAGCAAGACATGCTTTGGACGGAGCTCAAAGGACTTAGTTTTCCAATTTTGCATTCTCGATTTTTTTTCCATAAACATTTGGTACATTTCTCGAACTGAATGAAGAAGATAACGTGCTTGTACTTTCTTCTTGCCACCATTAGCTTGTAGAGAGATTTCGTCCAACTTTGAAAACATATGAATGCCAACACCCAATAAAATGATTTAATGCAAAGATTTTCAATAAAATTAATATCCTAAGGCAGTGTTTATTTATTTAAACTTTGTTATTGTAACTGGATACATCTTATTTAGTTTATATGCCAATTTTCAAAAGAAATGAACTCATTTCACATTGGTAACTTACATTACATGCAAGTCAGTAACTTACGTTACATATATTGAATAGTGCACAAAACAATAAATAAATAATATTTGAAAGCAAAACTATTGCTACTTATTTAGTGCTAGCCTCTAAATAGAAAAAATAATATTCTTACTTTTGTATCACATGTTTTTTTTTACACATAAAAACTTTTCCTAGTTTTTGGTAACTTACGTTACAGGCATTAATGTTTAGTTGAAATTTATATAATTAAGTGAATTTAACAACAAAAAGTTATTTTAACACTGCACAATACTTCTACTAAGTGTAATAAACAATATTTATTCTTTGGAACATTTTGAAAGGAAGATAATGTTAACTTACTGATTTTCAGAATCTGACCATGTTCTTCACCCAAATCAGAACAAGCAAATGCCAATGTTCAATGGGGTACCAACACTAAAAAACTGAATTCTCAAAATTTTTTTTTATAAATTATCAAACTTCAAACCTTTCTAATTCAGAAAAAATCCAAAATAATAACATTATTCTTATTTGAATTTTCCGATGCTTTTCCCCTTTTTCATGGAATCGCCCATGTGTCCAATTTGCAATGATTCATCGTAAATCTATTAATGGCCAGCAGTTATTGCTACAGGTTCTCACATAAATTTTAAAATTTTTCTTTTTCAATATAACAATATTACCATACATAAATCCTGAATCGCACACTTGAATTCTCACTTTATCATGATTTCTAGTCATGACAATTCCATCACAAACAGCATAAAATGCAAATTTTTTAGTTAATTGGTAGTTAAATATTCATTTTAGTTGAGAAAAGAATATGTTAGTTGTGTTGTGAAATAGCATAATCGCAAAAATTCAGATTTAGCTTAAGTTTTATATCATAAAACAACGTCCCATTGCTGATTTCAGTGCACAATTGATTAATCACAAAATATGGAGGGAAATTTAGTGTACAGATTTGCAAAATCCGAGAGATTTGGGTCTCTTCACAATTTGAGGAGTGCAGTTATGGACCATGTCAACCTTCATCTATGAAAATGCACTCCAACAAAGAATGGAGTTAACATGCCTTATATACTAGTGAATTGAAATTGTATTTTTGTAGTGGTAGACACAGTACAGTACTCCCCCACCAGTATTATAACTTTGAAAGAATTCAATGAACGGACACCACTAGTTGATTCATTGCTGTTTTGTGAGAAGCCAGGAGAGCTGTAGTAAGATCACCGTCCTTTTCAGGGTTGATCGTGAGGGATGTATTAAATTCATGGTAGTGGTAGCTCCTGTGTTGCCTTTAGCAGTTCTGTAACTACAGTGTGTATTGTGTGTGATCGAGACTGAGTAGCAACAGCGGAAGGAGGTGGATAATGTCGTAGTCACAAACAGCAAGTCAATAGATCAGTGTGGACCATCCATCATAGTAAGCGTGTTCAAATCTCAAACGGGAGTTGCTGTCAAGGTAGGGGGGTTGAAATCAGGTCCTGGTCACTAATGTGGGGGAGAGAATTATAGACACTGTCAACCATTATCTATGAAAAGGCACCCCAAGATTGATTGAAGTTAACATGTCTTATATACTAGGAAATTGGAATTGTATTTTTGTAGTCGTAAACACACTACAATGGCATGGCGAACAAGAGTTGGTAGCTATGTAACATTTATCACAGCTGTTTCTTTTATCATAATCAAAATCAATCTTAATCTAAACAGCTACAACAGTACTTGATGAAAAATTAAAGACATTTTTTCCAAAAGCATGCTACCATTAGCAATAAGTAAACAAATAATTGAAGAAGAATGGAGAGAGAAAAAATAGCTAAGCTAGTCAAATGTAATTTATTTCTGGAAAAGCAACCTTCACACCAATTAAACTACCATTTTACTACAAATTAATTTAATATGCATAAACAAAGAATAAATCGATACAAAAATTCCAAAGAATTATGAGAATCATTAGATAAGTAACTATATCATTCAAATGAGGTGAAGGAAGTTAACGTTGAAAAAAATAAACAATCAACAGCATCATTCAACCATACATTAAAAATGGAGATCTTTAAATAATCAGCCATTTAGGTTCGACATAATATTCAATAACAATAGCCTAAGAGTGAAGATGAAGATTTTCACAATAAGAGCATGAACTTACCAAAATCACAGGCAAAAATAAATATAAACACTACTAACGTAAACATTCTTAATTTAAAAAGTCACGCCTATTAGGATAATGAGGGGTGGGGTGAGAAGAGGTTTGAGTTTCCAGAAAGGCAGTTGACGCGTTATTTACGAATCGGACAGTGGCTTTTAGCTTTCTCTTTTTCTAACTTTCTCCACTTCCAGTGAGAACGTTGTTTGAACGTTTCGAGAGATTCAGACGGAACTCCAATAGATCTCCCAACTCATAATGTCTTGTTAGAAAAGGCCTTTTTAAACAGTTCGTCAGAAAAAATAACCGTTTTATCTCAACATTTGATAAGTAGGTAGGTCTGGAAAAGATCCCAGAGGATGATCTGAAGACTTGCCATTACAATTTTGATCCTCTACAGAGAGGATGGCACCCCTCACGGTCAGCTATGCAATAAAACTTTGAGGGCCCCACTGCACCCCCTAATTCACCTACAAAAATTTCCTGCAAAAAACATGTTTGAACCATAGACCCCTACTTAGGGTCCAAGTTTTGAAATTATAACTTAATATTAAAGAGAGTTAGACAACTTCGAAATTCGAACCCCAGCCCGCCATTTTATTTTATTTTTTATTTTTTTATTATTATTCCATTATGCGTTCTTTAACAAAGAAAGGTGCACAATTTTACTCCTAGAACACCTTACGCATGAGAAACTGTCGAATATATTGTAAAAATAATTTAAAACAATGGAAATAAGCCAATTTTCCTGAATTTTTCCAGTTTTCACACATAATTCGAAATTTTACCAATTTATAAAAATTATTTCTAATATGTAGGATACTCTAAAATATAGAAAAACACATTGAAAAAATAATATAATGCAAAATACGCGAAAGAAAAAAAAAAGGAAATTTTTTTGAAAAGTTGATAAAGCTGGGATTCGAACCTGCGCCTCCTCTCCCCAGCCGTCAGTTACAAGTCCGGTGTCTTGACCACCAGACCACTTGAACACTAATAGACAGTCTCGATTTCGCTTCAAAAGCCCTCTGACGGTCAGCTATGCAATAGATCTTTGAGCGGTCCCCTACACCCCCTAATTAACCTATAAAAATTTACCCCAGCGAACATGTTTGGACCATTGACCCCTACTAAGGGTCCGAGTTTGAAAATCATAACTTAATATTAAAGAGAGTTAGACGACTTCAAAATTCGAACCCCAGCCCGCCATTTGTTTTTATTTTGCATTTTCTCATTATTTTTCCATTATGTGTTCTTTAACAAAGAAAGATGCATACTTTTACTCAAAGAACACCTTACGCATGATAAACTGTCGAATATATTGTAAAAATGTCTTAAAACAATGGAAATAAGCAAATTTTCATGGATTTTTACAGTTTTTATCCATTATTCGCCATTTTACCAATTTAAAATTATTATTTCCTATATATAGGATCCACTGAAATATAGAAAAACACATTGAAAAAATAATATAATGCAAAACAGAAGAAAGAAAAAAAAAAGAAATTTTTTCGAAAAGTAGATAGAGCTGGGAATCGGACCAGCGCCCCCTCGCCCCAGCCGTCAGTTACTACTCCGGTGTCTTGACCACTATACCACTCGAACACCAGAAGCCAGTCACGATTTCGCTTAAAAAGCCCTGTGACGGTCAGCTATGCAATAGACCTTTGAGGGGTCCCCTGCACCCCTTAATTAACCTATAAAAATTTGCTCGAGCGGACGTGTTTGGACCTTTGACCCCTACTTAGGGTTCGAGTTTGAAAATTATAACTTAATATTAAAGAGAGTTAGACGGTTTCGAAATTTGAACCCCAGCCATCCAATTTTTTTTATTTTATTGTTTTTATTATTATTCCATTATGCGTTCTTTAACAAAGAAAGATGCATACTTTTACTCAAAGAACACCTTACGCATGATAAACTGTCGAATATATTGTAAAAATAATTTAAAACAATGGAAATAAATCAATTTTCCTGGATTTTTTCAGTTTTTACCCATTATTTGATAGTTTCCCATTTAAAAATAATTATTTTCTGTATGTAAGACCCTCCAAAATATAGAAAAACTCATTTAAAAAATAATATAATGCAAAATAAGCGGAAGAAGAAAAAAAAGAAATTTTTTTTGAAAAG